TATATATATATGAAACAGATAGTCAAGTTAAAGCAGTTAACAAAAATATGAATTTGTTTCCTTCAGGATTTTTAGTAATCTTTTTTTTCTTGGACAAATATTTTAGTCAGAGTGGCAATCYTTTTAAATAGATGATCTATAACAGGGCTATATAACTCAGTCTGCCTGACAAGGACTTTATTTAATATTTAAAAAAAATTTCATAAAAACTGATAGTCCACATCTATTTAGCAGCACTGTCAATGCTGTGCAGAAGTGTGTTTTCATATTAGGAAATATGAAAGCTAAACTTTTTTCTTTACCCACTGATGGCCCCCTGGGCGGACAGCACCAATAACAAACCATAGGTTTCAAAAAGTTGTGTTAAGGCTATTAACACAAAAAAATCAAAAATGACATTTTAATAAATAAGTTCTTTCTTAAACTCATTTTCTAGAAGTACATTTCAAGGGCTTCTTAAACACCTGAAACAGTATTCATTGTTTAATTTAAACACAGRTCTAGACCCAAACTCTCCTTAGTCACCCTCAAACTAGTTTTTTTTACTAACTGAGAGAGCAGAAACAGACACCAGTCTTTGATCGAACCTGAAAACAGAATAACTCAAGCTGAAGATTTGATTTTCAGATAATTATATTTAGAATGTTTCCAGTTTGATCACAAAGTATTTGTTTTTGTTTGTTTAATTCATCTCATTAAATATATTTTTCTCTCTGAAGTTTTTCAGAGTCCCTCATGAACAAACTGCAGGGGATTATATTATCTAACCAGACTGAGAATGAGAAGAGACTCTGCCTCCTCATCACCTCTCTGGACGACACCATGACAACTCTGCAACATGCACATACTCAACTACAGAATGCTGCACAGCTAAACACAGAAGCAGATCACCTGCTGAAAGTTGTACAGAATCAGCTGCATCAATATCAGGTGAACAAATGAAAACACCCCTAAAGACAAAGGTAGRGCTCAATACAGGTTTTATAAAAAATATATGTAGGTCCTCTAGAAGGATATTCTTTAATTCAATGAAAGAACCCAATCTAGAGAGCCTGTTCTACCTGGATYACTGAGATRCATCAGAACATTCATTAATACMATCCTCCCTGTTTCTTTAGAACAAAGTGAATTAACACTGATCAATTATCCGTCAGTTTATGCACAATCTACATTTTATAGTTTCATTTTTCTGTTCTGGCAAAGTAGGACTACAATCCTGCTTCCTGGATAACTAACCCTTCTAACCTTTTGCTGTCAATAATTTGGATAACTCATTTTATTGACCTCAGAAACAAAGGTGACTTTCATCCAAAGAGGGTCATCTCTCTGTGTGAGACCAAGTTTTCTCTGAATATTATCCAATCATCCACATAATCCACAGTTTTTCAGGACACCACCTGGACAGCCAAGGGTTGAACAATGTCATGGGCAGAGAAAATGATGTTTATAGAGCAGAATAAAAACAGATGATGTTTCCTGATGAACTAATTCTCTTTCTTTCTGTGTGTGTCAGTCTGTTCATCAGAACCTCAGTTTGGGGTTTGGATCCATGGATGGACTACTGGAGGACAGCCAGGTGCTGCTGGAGGACATCATACGTCTAAGCGAGGAGTTAACCAATGGCAGCACAGTAAGACAAAGTCAGCTGATAGTTTGATCCATGCAGCAGGTAACAGTCCTGATAACTTCTAAGAACTTTGACCTGACCAGGTGGAGCTGTTGGCGTCTCAGCTGGATCGTTGGCAGCTTTTACTCAGGAAACATGTGGACACTCTAGTTGCTGGAATGAAAATGACAGATGCTCTTAAAAACATTTATCGTGCAGAGAGTCATGCCYACGACATTCAAAGCCACGCCCAATCCATGCACAGGTAATCAGGATGTGTGAAAATGTGAAAGCATGAATGTGTTTGTCCCACTGGAATAGAGCAACTCTGGAACAACTGCACTAAGCAAAATGTTTGGTAGGCGGCTTGTGAAGTGTTGCATACATCAGTCTGTGCTGCTTACCTGTGGAAGTCACATCTGCCACAGGCTGTGTCATCACTTTTAAGATTTTAGAAAAGACATAATTTTACTTAAACATCCATCCATAAATTATCTGCAGCTGCTTCTTCCTTTCAGGGTCACTCTATCAGTCAAGGTGTGAGGGGCAGGGTACACCCTGGACAGGTCTCAGTCCATCACAAAGACACACACAGAGACAAATGAGACAAACAACCATTCACTCTCTCACTCACACCTAGGGACAATTTAGAGTTATCAATTAAACTAACAGTCATGTTTTTGGTCTGTGAGAGAACCCACACATGCACGGAGAGAACATGCAAAYTCTATSCAGAAAGGTCCCYGGGCCGGGATTTGAACCGGCAACTCAAACATATTATACATAAAGAAAGACAAAGACAAGAGTATTCTCAGGCCACTGTGGCTGAATGGTTAAGGGAGTCATCCTCTAATTCAGGGAGTTGACAGTTCAATTCCCCACTATTCAGTTATGTGTCAAAGTGTCCCTGAGCAAGGCACTGAACCCCTGCCCCCCCTGCCACCCCTGCCACCTCTGATATGTACCATCACTGTATGAGTGGGATTTAAAGCACTGATTTGAGTGCTTTACTAGAGATTGTTGTGCTAAATTAATGAGTGGATGAAGATAAGATAAGATAAGATAAGATATAAGATAAGGTGTAAGATAAGATAAGATATAAGATAAGATAAAACTATTGATCCCACAGTGAGGAAATGTTCACATTACTGCAGCTCAATACAGGATGAATGTGTAGAGGACACAAATTGTAAAGAGCTTCGAGTATCCTGTTTAGAAGGAAAGGCGCTATAAGTATAGACCATTTACCATTTACTATGTGTAATGAGCCTCCCAACAAGCTGAACCTATGCCCTACTAATATTACTACAGGGTTGGCAGTACTGTAGTAAAATTGCCAATACACAGACATAGAAATACTCTTTATTTTCCTGCAGAGGGTAAATTCAGGTGTCACAGCAGCAACAGGACAGAGGTTCACACACTTTACAAACTATAGATAGTACACACT